CTCATTAGAAGCCCCTGTGCATTGTCTCCCTGCTACTGGAAAAGCACTTCCTGAGGAACTCAGGACAACAAGCTACTCCAGCCAGGATGTTCTTGAAAACAGCACCCTCACAGGTCCACGCTGTATACAGTTGTTCTCCAAACAGACAGTAACCCCTTTTCAAGCCATTTGTCAGAGCACACGGTTCACTTCCAAGAGTGATCCCCAGTGTCTAAGGCAAAGATTCTCAACCAGTGTGTTGCCAGTTCCTTGGAAGGGTGATGTGAGGTGTGAGAAGATAAGCCTGGTGTGAGAAGGTAAGTGTAGAGTCAGATTTGTCCCTACCTGGTCAATGTTGACTTCCAGGTATATTCTGAGAAACAAAAAAGGTGTGAAGAGCCAGTCCCACCAAAATTAAACACTCAGAAAGATAAATGTAGATAAATTTTATGAGCAAATTTAATAATGAAACACAGAAATGATATAAATGACTAAACAGTACAGATAAGGCATGTCAAGCAAATGATTAAAATTTTATAAAGTGCATATTCATCTTAAGAAATAATTTTCTTAATATTTGAGAGAATGTAAAATGAATTTCTTTCACTCCTAAAGTCTTTAAAAGCCTATAACAGTAGTCAGCCCATTAGGAAGAAAGACTTTTCACCTAAGTTTCAAATTAAGTAATAGAAGAGCTCTTATTTTAGTATCTCTGTAGATGGGTTACACAACAAGAACCATAGTTACATGCTGAAAAACAAAGATTCTGAGATCAACTCAGGTTGTTATACTCCATGGCTTGGCTAAAATATCAAAAAGGCTTACTAAAAAAGATAAAAAAGAAAAAGAAAAGCATTCCTAATTTGTGTTACTCTAATTAATATTCATGGGCCTATTTGTGCCCTATGTAAGTTATAAATCTAAAATTAGCTTTGACTAACCATTAAATGCACTTAAGCAACTGTTAATGAGACTTCTATTTTTTTTTCCATTCTGCCTTCCTTGAATTTTCTAAAATAGCTCACACTTCGTAACATCCTCTGGCCTACCATTTATTTTGCCTCTTTTCTTACTCAAACTTTGGTCAAGGGACTGCAAGATAATGCTATACCATATTGCCATTAAGCAATTTAAGATCTACAGTAGTCAACCCCTAGCCCATGAGCCAGATCTGGTCCATGGTGCTATGTCATCTGGCCCATGGGGCTCCCCACAAGTCTGGAAATTTGGTTGCAGAAGAGTGGTGCCACTCCCCTGCTGCAAAATTTCTAGACCCCTGGGGAGCCCAATGCCCAGCATGCTGGATGGGGCATCCTGATCCCAATGTGCAAGGCAGGATAAGAGTAGCATTGGATTTCAGGGCCCAATCCTGAAGTAAGGGGTGGAACCTGGCCCCCAGGACCCTATCCCATCATGCTGAGAGTAGGAGGGAGCAGTGATGAGCCTCTAGGGCCCAATCCCAGCAAACAGAAGGTGGGGGGGGGTGATACTGGCCGCCCAGTATGGTCCAATCCAGACGCACAGGCCAGGAAAGGGCTGGTGTTGGGCCCCAGGACCTGATCTAGCCATGGATTGGCCCCATGCCACTCATCTACCCTGAAGAGTCAAAAAATGGAGCACCATTGGTCTAGACCCCCAATACCTAGACCCGCTTTAAGGAGATAAGTACTTTCAATTTAAATTAGTTTTGAAATTGGGTGCCACACAATTTACAAAAGTTATGGAGGGGTACCTTGGGTTCAAAAAGGTTGAGAACCATGGTTCTAAGGCATTTGGCAAGACCAGATTTCCATCACTTTCAGGGAGAAAACCAAACAAACAAAAGAACACCCCCTTGGGATCATATTATTGATAATGATGCCTTCCTTGTGGTATGAATGCAGGCTAACTTGGGTATGATCCCTAACCATACTGACATCTAGACAGAAATCCACTCACCTAGCCTCATGGGTGTGTTAAGACTAAACTAGTATACACTAATATATAGAAGGAAGTTTTGAATCAGATTTTCATTTACTTAGGAACAACGAGGTAGCTAATTAAAAGCCTTCAGCAATAGAGAAAAATCTGAGACAAATGGAAATTTTTTTGGCTTTTTGCTTAGATTCATCACACTAGACCTCCATTCAATATTTCTGGGGCATCCCTTAATCAGGCATGAGGAGTAGTGTCAAACTTCCTAGAGCTACACATGTTTAAGTATGTGATGAAGTGCCTTTCTGATTTGGATTGTTAATCCTGGAAACATAGAATTACCTGCCTGAGGAAAATTTTGCCAACACAAGAAAAATTTAGATGTAGAGGGTGCATTCCCATGAGTGCACATGTGCATTTCCCCAGGGACAAATAGCAGTGGCACCCCTGCATGAGCACTCTGGCATGTGGCAAATTGCCCTGGGTGAGGTGGGTGAGGTAGGGACCAGCACCTGGGTCCTGGGGGCCTCCTGGGACTGCAACAGCAGTGATCCAGGCATGTGGAGCCTGGCCAGAGTATGGCTCTTGTTGGCCAGGCTCCAGTTTCGGATGGTGCATGCTACAGCCTTGTGCATCACCCTGCTTTTTTTGGCACTTCTTTTTTTTGGACACCAGGATTTCCCAGCATCTAATTTTGGCTCTGTGCTGCAAATAGGCACTGCAGAGAACCTTTTGATGTGT